CGGTTTAACTAGTTACTGACCTGTGTGGCGAGCGGTTTAACTAGTTACTGACCTGTATGACGAGCGGTTTAACTAGTTACTGACCTGTGTGGCGAGCGGTTTAACTAGTTACTGACCTGTATGACGAGCGGTTTAACTAGTTACTGACCTGTGTGGCGAGCGGTTTAACTAGTTACTGACCTGTATGACGAGCGGTTTAACTAGTTACTGACCTGTGTGGCGAGCGGTTTAACTAGTTACTGACCTGTGTGACGAGCGGTTTAACTAGTTACTGACCTGTGTGACGAGCGGTTTAACTAGTTACTGACCTGTATGACGAGCGGTTTGAGCTGGTTGAGTTCGGGTCCTTCCAGGATGGATCCGAAGGCCATGACGGAGGCGTCTCTGTAGCGCCAGTCGGGGTTTTTGATGTGCTCTTTGATGAAGGGCAGAACGTGAGGAACCACGTCGTCCTCGCAGCAGGTGGCCAGCAGCATCAGACACACACCTGCAGCCTTGCAGGGGTTCCAGTCGTCGTCGTCATCATTCTCGTCCTGTGAGAGATTGAGGTCAAAGGTCAGGTGACGCACTGTGCCACAACAGAATATAAAGCTTAAGGTTTAGTAACTCTGGAACTACATCATCTCCCTGTCCACTGGGTCGGAGAGTGAGGGTGCACAGGTGCTGCCCAGGTGAGCAGGAAGTCATTTCATTATGTGTGTGGGTCTCAACCTTCCATCAGCAGTGATCACACTTCCTGTCTCATATTGTGATGCAGTTCGTCTCATGTCCACTGGGTGTCCTCACACTTTACAGACTCACAGAGGGGCGTGCCTGTGACAACCATCTGTGACCAACATCTGATAATACAGAATGTGTCACACCTAGCAACAGGGTCGACCACGCCCCCTCACTGAGCTCAAAGTTTCTGTCGCTCTGAAAACTTTCCTAAATCTCTCCTGAGCTCAGACTCTGAGACATTTGGTCTGAGTCAGGAGCTCTGAGAGGATCTCAGGATGTTTGTGCCCCAGGTGTGTTACCTGTTTGGTGAGGGTCTGGGTCAGGATGGGGACCAGGTACTGCAGGGCCCCTTTGGCGTAGAACTTACTGGTGTGCTCCGGGGGGCGACCCTGCTCCGAGGCCTGCCATTGGACGAGAGCAAACAGGAAGAGACCAACATACTCAGTCAGAGGGCGGTTTGGTTTGACAAACTGGGACTGATGATGTCATGACGTGCGCTCCCACAAACCTCCGAGGCCTCGATGGCCAGATCCATCTCCTCGTCACAGACATTGGACCAGAACTCGATGCCCTGTAAGGCCACCTCATCGATGTCGCTCTTCATCGCCTCAATAGTGATCTGAGAGGAAGAGGAGACAGACAAAGGGAAAGTGAAGAAGACAAAAGTTTAATGTTTCACATCTGGATTTTAACTCTGACTTAAAGCTGCTTTTTGAACCTGAAGAGTTAAGAACAGCTGCTCGACCTCAAACAACAAAACCACCGTCAGCATTAACACGTCTGACTTCTTCTTCTTCTTCTTCTTCTTCTTCTTCACACAATCTGTAGATTGTTTAAATGTGATTAAAGATGATCCAAACTGAGTCTGAGCTGAGCTGGAGATCTGACCGCAGGCAGAGCCGCTACAATGATCAGAGTTCTTTCTGTCTTCTTACGTTTGTACTTTTTAAACAGAGAACAGATTTTATTTTGTGACATTCACTGGAAAAGAAAAACAAATACAGCCAACAGGAAGTAGCCAGGCTCGTTAATAGCGATGGTCGTTTATCAGAAACTCTCAGATCCTGCTGATCTCCCTCCGGTCAGCTACATGTTCATCATGTCGTCGTGCTGTTTATTAATGATGCTACGCGAGTTTGATTTGGCGCGGTGACGCCGTTAGCACAGGCTGATGATGTAGGCGACTTTATAATTTGACAGAACGACTCATAGTGATGAAGGCTGGTTCAGTCAGTTTACCTAAAATCAAACCAGTTTAAACTGGTACACCAGACAACTAGAAGTTGATCCAACTCTGCTGAGCAGGTCAGAGACGTTTGACACTTTTACATCACTGCTGAACGCTGCTGCATTACGTCAACGCTCGTCTGTGGGTGACAGCGCAAAAAGTTTTCCCAAATAATTCATGTTGACCTCATTAATATAATTTAGATCATAGAGCTGCACCTGATGATTATTCTTTTATTGATTAATCTAATGAAATCATTCATTCATTCATTCATTCATTGTGCTGAATAAGAAAAAACATGTTGGACGATTCTGCATCACGATGAATCCAAGAATTGATTATTACTCCAGCTCTACTTTCACCTGTTACAGATCTGACACGTGTGTGTGTGTGTGTGTGTGTGTGTGTGTGTGTGTGTGTGTGTGTGTGGACTCACCGCGAACAGAGCTGGACCCATGTACGTCTCCATGTACTGATAATACAGAGACATGATCTTCACCAGGTTCTGTAAGGCCGCCACACGCACCTGAACACACCACGCAGGGAGAACAGAACACGCGTGTCAGAAACACATGGACTGAGTTTAAAGCACTTTGATCAAAGGGGACACGTTGGGGGACACGTTGGGGGACACGTGTCAACACTCACTCTGGTGTCGGGACACTGCGTAGCTTCACACACCACCTGCATGATGAAGTGTCTCTCTGTCTGAAACACAGGAAGGAAACTATAAACATCTGTTTCACAATAAAACAAGAATAATCATCTTTAGATCGACTTCTACAAAATAAAACTTCCTGCTTCATTACTTTTTATATAGTTGTTTTTTCCTGCACAAACATACTTATTTACATGTTGGAGAATAAATGTAAACAACTCTTCATCAGATGAAGACGTTTGACTGATCTGACCCTCTAATATTTATTCACGTAACAACACCTGAAGCTCTCACAGAGGGTTCACAGAGGGCTGAGGGGACAGGAAGTGTGGTGTACGTGGTTACCTCCTTGTCGAAGTTGGCTTTAGTGAACTCCAGAGAGTTGAGCAGGGCGTTGGTGGCGGCCAGTTTAACGTTGTTACTGGGCTCCTCCTTCCTCATGCCCTGGATAATGGCTGTCAGGATCTGGTTGGCGTTCTCCTGCAGTTGCTCAGGGTCCTGAAGGAGCCACAACAGGTTAACATTAACACAACAGTTAATGACTCATCTCTGCTATGATGATGATGATGACGATGATGATGGTGGAGGGGTCACCAGTTAATTAGTTTACAAAGTCATGATGAATTATCAGCACGTGTCATGTTTGACACAGTGTGAAGTCGTCTTGTGTCTGCAGGACATCACCACACAGTGAACATCAGTGGATGTGTGAGCAGAGGAGAGTCTGTGTGTCAGAGACGTGATGATTGGACGTTTGTCGTCCTGAGTCAGAGTGGTGCAGTGGCTTCATGTATCAGTGTGTGTGTGTGTGATCACTCACGATGTCCTGACAGATGTATCCGATGGCCTCCAGCGTGGACTCCTTCATGTGTTCGGTGCTGGAGGGGTCGGTAACGTTGGCCACCAGCTGTGGGATCAGCTCAGGCCACTGGTTCACTGGGATCTCTGCACAGGCGATCCCGGCGACGCACTGCGACGCCGAGCTGGGCCGGTACGTCTCTGTGCCCAGAGTCTGTAAAACCTGCCGGACAGACAGAGAGACAGACGGACGGTCAGGATGTGAGGACCACATGAACGTGAGATGAATGTCATGACAGTGGGGACAGTCTCAGGGTCCTTACGTAGTTCTTGATCTCGCGGCGAGCGTTGGCGTCGATGGCCAGCCATCTCTGCTGGTACTGTGTCTTCACGTCGGGGTCTTTGGAGGTCAGAGAGTTCTTCACCTGCAGACCGGCAGCAACTCGAGCCACCTGAGTGTTCCCCGGGTTCGCCAACACTTTAGACAACTCCACCAAGAACGTGGGCTGAGGGAGGACAGCAGGAGGACAGGAGGAGGAGGACAGAGGGAGGACAGCATGAGGACAGGAGGAGGAGGACAGAGGGAGGACAGCAGGAGGACAGAAGGAGGACAGAAGGAGGACAGGAGGAGGAGGAGGACAGCAGGAGGACAGAGGGAGGACAGGAGGAGGACAGCAGGAGGACAGGAGGAGGACAGAGGGAGGACAGGAGGAGGACAGGAGGAGGACAGAGGGAGGACAGCGGGAGGACAGGGAGGACAGAGGGAGGACAGCGGGAGGACAGGGGGAGGACAGGAGGAGGACAGAGGGAGGACAGGAGGAGGACAGCGGGAGGACAGAGGGAGGACAGGAGGAGGACAGAGGGAGGACAGAGGGAGGACAGGAGGAGGACAGAGGGAGGACAG